CGCGGGCAGGCCCCAGGGAGGTGTGGAAGAAGGGCGGCCGCCTGCTGTCTGTGCTGCTGGCCGCGAACGTGCTGCTCCTCGCCTGCACGCTCATCAGCGGCGGAGCCTTCAACAAGGTGGCCGTGTACGACACCGACGTGTTCGCGCTGCTCACTACGATGATGCTGCTGGCAATGCTCTGGATCCTCTTCTACCTCCTCCGAACCGTGCGCTGCCCCTGCGCGGTACCCTACCGGGACGCGCACGCTGGCCCCATCTGGCTCCGAGGTGCCAGGGGAGGTGGGGGCGAGGTGGGGTGGGCACAGCAGGGAGCTGCAGGCTAGGGCTCTCACAGGAGTTGCAGAGCCCAGGGTGACATATAAGGGTGAGAGTTTGCCTAGAGAGGACCAGGAGGACCGGAGGGTGAGGTGGGCTGCAGTTAAGGATAAAGAGGAAGGGAAGGGGTCCTGGGGAAGGGATAAATAGAGGGATGGGGTGGGACCTCTTTGTCCCCTGGTCCGAAGATTGGAGAAGGCTGGCTAAGGGAGGGCCTTTGATGGAGAGCAGGAACCAGAAGACAGCAGTCACTGAAAGAGCCCAGCCAGGGCCCTTTGCGGTATCCACACAGCCCCAAAGAGACCAGGGCTTGGTAGCAGGTCCATCCATCCACCCACTCAGTCATACACTCACCCTTCCATCCACCCATTCACCTTTCAGTCTGTCTATACACCTATCCACCTATCCTCCCACCCTCCCCACTGATCCATCCAACAGTGCACTCACTCACTTGTCCACCCACCCATCTAGCTTCCCATCCTCAGGGCCTGTCCTCAGCTGGGCAGGCCTTCTGTCCTGCCTCTCTGATCTACCACCACCACCCACTCGCCCTGGTTCTCAGGTGGACTGGTGCTGTTTGGTATCTGCACCCTCATCATGGATATCTTCAAGACCGGCTACTACTCCAGTTTCTTTGAGTGCCAGTCAGCCATAAAGATCCTGCACCCTGTCATCCAGGCTGTGTTTGTCATCATCCAGGTGGGTGGAGGAGTGTCGCTGTGTGGAAGAAAGGAGCTAACACTTGGCCATTGGAAAGGACCCAACAAGGGGTCGGAGACCTGAGCTCCACCCGCCTCCTATCCTGAGCTATTAAGTAAACTGGGGACAGGGCTGTAGAGAGCATCACAGGAGTCCATCAATGTGGAAACACCTCATAATGAAGTAATATCCCAACGTGAGCTTCCACTTGGAGCTCTGCAATGTTATTTCAACTTAAGCAGTGCCAGTAGTTAACACCTAGGAGGTGTGAGCTGTGACAGCCAGCCCTGTCTCCTAGAACCTGGCCTGCCCTCCTTGGGTACCCGTAGGGCGCTTCTGTGTCAGTCCAGGCTCCTGCCAGCTTGGTCCCTCTGTTCTGTATTTGTTTGGAAAGTAGGGTAGCCTGTAACTGGGATTTCTCAAATATTCGTTTTGTAGTTGTTGTTGCATAAACAATACTTTGAAAGATCTTCTGATTGAGCTGAGACAGGACTGGGCTTAGATGGGATCAGAACAGCCCCCAGCCCTCTATCATGACCAAAATGGCATCATGGATGATGTCCTCCCCAGAAACATCACCCCTGCTGCCCAGGTTTTCACAGTTCAGCACACGTGTGGTTGTGGCATTTATGTAGCTTTAGTCTTTCATATTTTATGGGTTTGAAGAATACTCAGGTAAAATGAAAATATAGATATCCCCACTTCACCAAATGCCATAGCAGGGATTCACAGGCAGCCAGACGGTAGCAAGGCCTGGTACGGCGACAGAGGAAGAAGATGAGCAGGGGATGTTGCCAAAAGAAGGTGAGAAGTCCACAGAGGCTCCTTCCTCCCTGAGCAAGACCTAACCTGAGGCTGGCCTTGCTCCCAGAAAAAAAAAAAACAAAAAAAACTAGGTAGTCAGAAATCTACTTGACCCCCACCTCCACACAAAATAAACCCCACCACGGGCAGGGTTTTACATGTGATGTTTTGCAAACCTTTAAAGAATGGAGAACCACTATTTTATACAAACTGTGTCAGAATAGAAAGAGACAGTGTTCCCCACCTCATTTTTTTTCTTTTTCCTTTTTTTTTTTT